TATTCTCTATCTCTATAGATCTCAAGTCCGGCCTTGCATGGACTACTGTTGCCATATCTGAGGCGGATCTTCTAATGATGCTCTTTCTTTTTTAGACAAGGTGCAAAAACGCATTGTAAACATAGTTGGACCTGCTTTTGCAGCCAACTTTCAACCTCTGTCACATTGTCGTAATGTTGCTTCTCTTTTTCTTTCCTACAAATACTATAATGGGCACTGCCCTAAAGAGCTAGCGTCTCTTGTGCCATCTACTAAAATTCATTCTCGTGTTACTAGTCATTCAATTTAGTCTCATTCATTTTCTGTTACTGTTCCTAAGTGCTCCAAAAACTCTTATTCGTCTATTTTTTTTCCTCGAACATCAGTTCTTTGGAATTCGCTTCCTTTATCTTGCTTTCCTGATTCATATAATTTGAAATCTTTTAAGTCGTCTGTCAATTATCTTGCTCTACAATTTTCATCTTTTCTCTTCCAGTAACTTTCGACACTAATTAGTGGTTGCTTGCAGCCTTGTTAGAAGCGAAGATAATTAAAAAAAAAAAATTCTTAACTTGGTTTTCTTATTAATTTTATATTTACTTACTCTGAGAATTGGCAAGCATGAACATTATATAAAAAAATAACCAGACTTATATATAAAACTAAAGGCGGACTTGTACACGACGCTCCCCCTTAAGTTTATAACACGTTTTGAAAATGATATTTACTGACCAAGTAAAATTAAATAATTTAATTGATTAAAGTGTAATGACCTCAATTGATCATAAGTGATGAATAGAATTAAATGTAAATGCTTTGACTAATAAATAGGGATTAACACAACGAAATATACATTCATTAATTGACCGTGAGAATTGGGACAGCTTTGGTCACGATTATTAATATTTCATAGGGGGTGCGTTGTGTACAAGTCCGCCAAACTAAATCGAGAATTTAAAAATTTAAATTTTCACACTGTCAATTACAAAAGTTACACTTCATAAGAATGTTTATCTTCAAGTGGCCACACTTGAAGATAAACATTCTTATAAAGTTTAACTTTTGATAAACTTCTTAAGGTGGTTCCTATGTAATCAAAAAAAGTTACTTTCTATTCATTAAGCATTAATTTTCTTAAAAGTAGGTACAGAATGTGTAAAAAAAATATATTTTTGAACTCCAAAAATATATAGATGATCACATTGGGGCCTATAATAGTCAAAATAACCACTAAAAATAACCACTAAAAATAGAGTTTACTAGAAACACAATTACTTATAAGTAAAAGCTCATTTTACTATCAAACTTGGTATACTTATGCGTGTTACCTGTATCTAGTGCGTGAGTTTTTTTTATTAAAAGATCCTGTTTCTGCTAAAAGTTATTTTTTCGGATATAATATCAAAATAGACACCGGTCTGTATTCCAAGTTTTTCATACACTTTAACAAGTCCAAATGGACCTTCATTGAATTGAAGAATAGCTTTATATACACCTAACTGTAGAATTGATCTTTCTACAAAGATTTGCTTAGGACATTTCATCCAGATAAGATTATTCAGGCACTCATTAGCATTTTGAGTTTCCCCGTGGATGCACTTGCGAAGAATGTCATCATTTGAAAGATCTAGGAAAATTATTGACAAGGTAGGAAACATCCACTCTAGTAAACTAATCCTCTCTTTGTGTTTTTTAAGTTTATTTTTCTTATAACTACACCACGATTCTTCTCCATGTGGACAAAACATGTGGCGCTTATCTAAGTTAGAAAAGTTGGTGCAATGATGAAGGATAGCACCTATCCACTTTTTCATTGTGTAAATTTTTTCATCGTTAGCGCAATTTAATTTTAGACTTCTTCGAATTGCAATACCATAATAATTTGTTATTGAATTAATGGAGTTGTTAGTCAATTTTCCTTTTTCACCAAATGGTGTAAAGGTATTTTTATATTCTTGTACTAGTGTCCTAAGTCAAGAACCTATTCTTTTGTTTACATATCCAATACATTCAAGTTTAACAGGTGTAATACCAAACTACGCTTCGTAGGGTTTGGAGTTAACAACTTCTTTGTCTCCATCTCTAAGATACTCATTATAAACTAGTTTATTTCGACTTACAGGTTGCTGAAATATATCAATAGTACCTGAGGCTTCCATTGGTCCTGATGACTTACGATGGTTAATTCTACAATTATGTGCAACTTTATACTTTCTTGTAAAAAAAAAAACTTATATTAAATGATTACATTACAAAATGATATTACATTTCACATATAAAGACAGAAATGTTAATATTAATTTAACGAAAGAAATTCCACATGCTTCAAAGTAGAAAGTACGCTAAAAAAGTAATAACTGCTTTTAGTTAAACATACAACGTAAACTTATTGCTGCCATTTTTATTGTTGACAACAACAAAAAAAGTAGGGCGAAAGAGAGTAAGTGGAAATCAAAACAGCGTTTCGTTAGAGTGAAAAAATTCGCTTCGCGCGAATATTTCGTCTTGTAGAAAACGGCCTTAAATGTGCGGTCATAGTTAAAATTAGCGTGAATGTTGTTAAAGCAGTGTTGGATATTATTGAAACGTCACTATTTTACATTTTTAATCTTTCATTAAAATCCGGAATTGTACCAGAAAAATTAAAAATTGATCATACTTATTTTTAAATCTTACGATGAAACAAATATCTCTAATTATAGACCTATTTCTTACCATGCTTCTCATAACTGTTAGAACAAATTATGATAGACATAACAGCTATTTAACTAAGAGCAATATAATATATAATAAACAATTTGAGTTCAAAAAGAATCATTCAACGAATCATGCGCTACTCGAGCTAATAAATATATATCCAGTGGGTTCAATAATTTTTGCTATATATTAGGAGTTTTTATTGATTTGTCAAAAGCATTTGACACTGTTAACCATGATATTCCTATAAAAAAAACTAGAACTGTATGGAATACTAAACAATAACTTACTATGGCTTAAAAGTTACCTGTCAAACAGAAAACAATACATAATATATACAGCAAATGAAACAGAAAAACATATTATAACTTGTGGTGTTCCCCAGGGATCAATCTTAGGCCCACTATTATTCCTATTCTATATAAATGATTTATATTTATTATCCAAAATTTTTAATGTTATTTTATTTGCTGATGACTCGATTTTTTTTTTATTCAAATGGTAATATAAAAGATCTATTAATAACGAAGAATTATTAAAAATAAATGACTGTATTACAATTAATAAACTTTCATTAAATGTTGGGAAAACTAAATTTATCTTATTCCACAAACCTAGTAGGGGAGATAAGCTTTCTTTAAAATTACCTAATCTCTATACAAATAAAACAGTTATTAAAAGAGAGTCAACGGTTAACTTTCTAGGAGTGATTATAGATGAAAATGTATCATGGAAATATCATATTAAATCTATTGAAAACAAAGTCTTTAAAAATATCTCATTATTATATAAAGTTAAACTATTTCCTAATATTGAGTCTTTAAAAAGTTATATATTTTTCATTTATTTATAGTTATCTTTCCTATTGAAATATTGCATGTCGCGCTCACTTGCGCGACAATGACTTCTTGTTGTGTTGAACAGTATTGGCGGATATATTCCCGCGCTTTACTCTCTTCTTAATAACATTGTAGTTGACGAGCACGTTTAGTTTAGTAACGAAGCATTACTACACTTTCTTGTCAGTGCCGGATCAAGAGTGGGGCTATACCCCCGGGCCCCAAAAAGTCTTTTTTTTTTAAATAAGTATCTAAAAATAAGTATCTTATTTTTTTAAATAAGTATCTAAAAATAATTAAACTGAAAAAAGTCATCATTACTCACATATTTCTGTCTTGATTTGTTTCTTATTTTCTTATAAAAAAGAAAAATAAATAACTAAACGAAAAAATATCTTATTATACGATTTACTAATTGTAATATATCGTGTTTTACTATATAATCTTCAACCTGTAAATTTTTAACTTTTAATTTTAACTTGATACATAAACTGAAGGTGAAAATATAAACGGGGCTCGACGATAAGTAAATATACGTCTTCTTCTTGCTTCGGCCATTTATTATACGTGTACTATTTTTTTTATTGTATATTTTATTAAACGGCAAAGGAAATAAATAAATAATAAAATATATGAACGATAAGAAGTTATAGTGGTAATATTACGTTGTTTCGATTGGAATGTACACCGTTCGGTTAAACTTATGAAATGGTATTGAAAGTTCTGTCGAACTAGCTGTTCTCATTTAAAGCTAGTTTTAATTTTTATTATTTAATTTTTGAAATATGAATCAACGATACAGTTGTATTTATAATTCAAAATAAAAAATTTAAAAACGTTCATGCCTAAGATATGCATGTTCAAAGATTAAGTGACCGAGCTTAAGCAATTTTACGGGATATTCTTATCAGGACCTTAATTAGATTTTTTTTTAATATTTAAAAAAAATGTTCTTATATGTAGACTGATTGTAACAAAAAATAGTGTAAAAAATATCGCCTAATTAGTTTTTTGGTATATGTCTCTCTTAGTGTAGACAAATTTGCAATACTAATAAATAATAGTATACTAAATAATAACGAAACAGCACTTTTAGTAAGTTTTGATTTAATAAAATTCATAGAATTTTTTTGAAGAGTTGGCGATTGATGATAAATGATTAAGAATAAATACAACTTGTTTCTGTCTTTTATATTAGCATTTTTGATTCGCTGGTTAATATTAGCCTGCTCTTTTCTACACGAATCGAAGATTTATGATGAAACAGACTTGCGTAATTAAAAACTAAGTTTCTGCATCAAGAACCAAGTTGGTTCTAAAAATAAAGTTATGCATTAAAAATAAAAAAACAGTATTAATAATGGTACTTAAATATTTAATGCGTTGACATCGCACCATTCTTAAGCCATATTTAGCATTCCATATGCCACAAATTTTATTTCATATATTGTTTAAAAATTTTCTCGAAAAAACGAGACAAAAAAGTAGCTTTAATTTTAATTTGAAATTCATTAGCTATTTTACAGTCTTTAGGTTGTGATAAAATCCACATATAATAAATTACGACACAGCACATCGACAGATAAAACAACATCTTGAAAACGATGAACACTATGACAATTGTATAAAAATTTGGTCTAAAATCTATTCTATTTTATAGTTCATCTTTATCATGCTCTGAAGTTTTATGTTCATCCTCAGCCTCATCCTCTTTAGCAGGAACAGGTTCTGATTTTTTAGCGTTTTCAGGTATATCAATGTCTTCATTTTCAGACTTAGCCTAAACAATTCAAGATTAAAGAAATTAGAAATATTCAACTTTTAAATTTCAAACTTTAGTACTCAGTTTTTTTCAACTATAACAAGTAATATTTTAGTTAACAAAAGTATATATAATAGAATTAACATTAACCTCTTCAGCTACTTCTTCTTCTTCTACATTATCATCTGGAAGCTCCACTTTAGCATCTAAATCAACTCCCATACTTAGTCTTAACATACGCTCAATACGTTTAGCAAAGTCGAGTGAGTCTTTTACATTGTAACCAGATCGAATTGCAGCAGTTTCAAACATAACTAATGCCAAATCTTTTGCAGTACTATCATTAGGATCTGCTTTGACTTTAGCATTTAGTTCTTTGATTAATGGGTGATATGGGTTTACCTCAAGTGTTTTCTTTTGCGAAGTATAAAAACTATAAATATATTCAAAAAATACAATAAATTGATCTGAACTTTTCAAACGCAAAATTAAAATTTTAAAAGTCATAAATAATTAGTTAAACCAAGACTGTATAATACGAACCTCTGAGATGGATCTTTAGCTTTAGCATAAGCTTGTGAACTCATAATTCTTTCCATATTAGCAGACCAACCATATGAACTTGCAACTAGAGCCAATGGAGACTCTGTCAAACGCTGAGAGATGGTTGCTTTTTCAATCAAATCTTTAAGGCCAGTTTCTTTCATCCATTTCATTAATGGTTCATATTCTTTTTCTAATGACTCTAATTTAGCCTTTTGTTTTGCTTCATCTTCATCACCAAACTTTAGTCCTTCCTTTGCAACATTTTGAAACTTCTTTCCTTCAAATTCAGGTAAACTTTGAATGCAGTATTCATCCACTGGTTCAATTAAGTAAAGTACTTCATATCCTATGGAAAAAAATAATACATTTTTAAGATAAAAATAAAAAGTATAAAATAATAAATTAGTAAAACAATCAAATAAGAGAAAAATATAAAAAATAAGAAAAATTATACCAAAACAATAAATATTTATGTTAAATAAACGTTTTTTTTGTTGGGAAACACTATGACTTCTAAAGATAATTTCAAGAGAAATCTCAAACAGTTAACACATTTCTATTGCTGATTCAATAGCATGTCTTTTCATAAGATTTGAAGAGCATGTGAAAGGAACAGCTTTTTAAATTAAAAAATATTTTTAAATATATGACATTTATTTTAAAGTAACTTAACTTCTCAACACCAAATCCCTAATAAATAATAGTTTTTTTTGTTGGGAAACACTATGACTTCTAAAGACAATTTCAAGAGAAATCTCAAACAGTTAACACATTTCTATTGCTGATTCAATAGCATGTCTTTTCATAAGATTTGAAGAGCATGTGAAAGGAACAGCTTTTTAAATTAAAAAATATTTTTAAATATATAACATTTATTTTAAAGTAACTTAACTTCTCAACACCAAATCCCTAATAAATAATAGTTTTTTTTGTTGGGAAACACTATGACTTCTAAAGACAATTTCAAGAGAAATCTCAAACAGTTAACACATTTCTATTGCTGATTCAATAGCATGTCTTTTCATAAGATTTGAAGAGCATGTGAAAGGTATAGCATCATATATTTAAAAAAAACAATTTAACATTTCTTTTAAATTAATTTATTAGCTGAACCAAATCCCTTAAAGGGACTACCAAGTCCCAAGACATGCTGTGTTCATATTAAAGAGAATGTTAAAAAAAAAATGTCTGAGCAAACTTTTTTTGATTAAAACTAATTAATAAATGTATACCAAGAAAAGCAAATCTTGTTTTAGTTGAAGCTTATTTTCTCTGGTATTTTGAGTATGTAAAATAAACACGATTTTCCAGGAGCATTATACAGACTTGATAATTTATTCAAGCGCGTTTAATTCATAGCTTTAGTGCATGACGTCATAGATCTTTTCTTTTGTTTGTTTAAAACACCGATTGTTATTTTTTACATAAAATTTCCAAATCATATTTATTTTTATTATATTTTAAAGTTTTAATATTTGTTTGTAAAACAAAATAAAAAACAAAATAAAATATAAAACAAAAATAAAATAAAAAACAAATATTTGCGCAACTTTTTTAAAACAATCCTCTAGACCACGTGTATTTTGATTTCTTTATATAGATAAAATAATTTTTAACCTAAATAATAATGCAATTTTATTAATTTACTTTGTAAATATGAAAAAAAAATTATTAACGCATTTTTTCTCTGATTTTCAAAAATGTATTTTTTGGTATTGAGGTGATCTTATTTCATTATTTATATTTCCATTATAACATTCAATATATATTATGGCGGGGGCTTAAAAATTAATATATATTAATTTTTATTTTACAGACATACATGGAAACATAATTAACTTGAATGTTCTTAAAACATCTTGCGGAAGAATAAAAAGAATATTCGCAAACACTAAAAACCTGCCAAATTTGCAAACAAACTAATTCTATTGGTTCAAAAAACACGCGCTGACTAAGCGAAATAAAGTTCTAGAGTATTTTGTTGAAATGTTTTAGGAATTGTATTATTTACAATTTGTTGCGTTTTGAGATATCTAGCATAAATTTTTTTAAGAATATATTATCAAACGAACTTTACTTTAATATAGTGGCTCATTCTCGGAGCCACATCTGTAAAGCCGTAAAACATTTTAACTATTATCATTTGTTTACAAAAAAAAATGTTTTATAATATATATTTTTTAAATTGTCAAAATTTTGAAAGTTAATTACAAATTATATATTTTATTAGTATATTCTTAATTTTTATATCTTTTCTTAGTGCTTGGTTTAATTAATTTTTCGCTAGATTTGTAAAAAACTAACGAACAATTAATAAAATAAACTTTTAATAAATAAGTAACTATAGTTAGCTATTTGAGTAAAATTTAATAGTAAAATTTTTAAAGAATTTCTAGAATGTTTCCAATGACATCACGCTCTAAAACTCCTATGAAATAAACGCGCTTGAATAAATTATCAAGTCTGTATAATGCGCCTGGAAAATTATGTTTATTTTACATACTCAAAATACCAGAGAAAACGGAGAAGACGAGCTTTGACTAAAACAACAAGATTTGTTTTTCTTGGTATACATTTATTAATTAGTTTTAATTTAAAAAAATTTGCTCAGACGTTTTTTTTAACATTCTCTTTAATATTAACACTACATGTCTCGGGACTTGGCAGTCCCTTTAATTAGGAGTGTTTTATTTGTAGGAAAACACAAAAACTACTAGAGAATTTCATGAGAAATCTCATTCAGTTCACACATTTATCTTGCTGATTGGATAGCATGTCTTTTTATAAAACACAAAAAGCATGTGAAAGGCACAGCATAAGGGCACTCAATTATCATGGTTGTGTATATATAACATTATTTTTGCAGATTTACGTTAGCACTATGCTAATATATTTTACTCCCATTAAATTTAAAACATGACACTAATTGAATTTTTAGACAAAGAAAAACAATGTACATACACATGTCTATACAAATAATAACGCTATTTAAAATAATAACACTGTTTATCTATTTACACAGTGCTAACTAAATCTGCAGAAATAAATATAAATATATATATATATATATATATATATATATATATATATATATATATATATATATATTATATATATATATATATATATAAATTAAATTTTCTAAAAAAAAAAACTAACCTTTACGTAAAAGTCTTTCAACAAATGGTGAGTTTTTAACTTCTTCTAAACTAGCTCCAGCCATGAAGAAAATAACATCTTGTTTGTCTTTCATACGACCCAAATAATCAGCTAGCGAAGTCATTTTTTCTGGATCATTAGATGAGCGGAATCTTAACAGTTTTGCTAATCTTGTTCTATTTGAGTGATCTTCTATGACACCAAGTTTAATACTAAATAAGAAAATATTTATAAAAATAGTAAAAAAAATGGTACTTTTATTAAATACAAATAAACTAAAAATATAGGTTCATTATTAAACGACATAAATTTGTTATTAAAAATAAATTTTTAATAACAAATTTAAGTCAATACTGTGCTAAAAAGAATTTTACTTTGTGCTATATTCTTTCCAGAATTTTTCCTTATAGTCCTCATCCGAAATTTTTTTAATCATATCAAGAGTTTTTCGTACAAGTTTTTTTCTGATAACTTTTAATAATTTGTGCTGTTGTAATTGTTCACGGGATACATTTAAAGGTAGATCATCTGAATCAACAATACCACGAATAAAAGAAAGATATTTTGGCATCATGTCCTGGAAGTCATCTGTGATGAAAACTCTGCGAACATAAAGCTTAATATTTTCACGTCTTTTACCATAGTCAGAGAAGATATCTGATGGAGGAGATTTGGGAATGAATAAAACAGATTTGAATGTTACTTCTCCCTCAGCAACAAAGTGTGTTTTAGCCATTGGATTGTCAGATTCCTAAAATATAAACACAATATTTAAATTAGACTTCTCTAGAAGTTAAAAGCTAAGCTTAACTATAATCATCATGTAGCAAATAAGACCTTTGCTTACCTTAGAAATAGCTTTGTAAAACTCGTTGTAATCATCATCAGAAACATCTTTTGGTGCTCTCAACCAAATTGGTTTTGCACCATTCATTAACTCCCAATCCCAAATAGTCTTCTCAACTTTTTTAGTTTTAGGTTTTTTATCTTCTTCTTTAGCTTCTTCTACTTTGCCATCTTCGTCATCGTCTGCCTTTGTCTAAAAAATATTCACGAAATTACAACTGCAAGATCTTAATTTACTTTTAAACAAAAAACATTTAATTTAAACTAAATCAACAAGCAAACCTCGTCTGCTTTATCTTCAGCTTTCTTTTCTTCTGCAGTTTCTTCAACAGGCTCCTCAACTTGTTCAGTTTTGGAACTCCACAAGTAGATGTTAAAGTTGATAAATTGAGAGTACTTTTTAATTAAATCTTTTAAAGTATTGGGCTCAAGGAAGTCACGAGCTTCTTCTTTTAGGTATAAACTGAAATTAATTATTTAAACTTTCTTAAATCTTATTAGTTCACATTTTCTGCAAATAATACACAAACAAGAGAAATGCATACCTAATTTGGGTACCTCTTTTAAGTGTTGGTCCTCGAGGATCTTCAGAAATAGAGAATTCAGCTGAATCAGATTCCCATATATGCTGCTTGTCATCGTTATTCTTTGATGTTACTATAACACGATCAGCAACCAAGAAAGCAGAATAGAAACCAACTCCAAATTGACCAATCAAATCTGAAGCTTGATTTGCAGTGCCTAAATGGAATTTCTTTATTGAAGAAACTGTATGCAAGTATTGGTAACATGTATTTCATAGCTTTTATATGTTATCAGGTATTCAAAATTTGCAATCAAACAAATTTTGTAAAAGCTATAGTTAAGCCACCAAAACAAAAATTTTTCTCTTTAAAAAATACAGTAAAGAGAATTGAAATTAAGGCACTACTACAGCCCCCCCTTGTTTTGATTATGATAGAATGCATTATACTTATTCAGAATCATATAAAAACAAAGATCTGAAAATTTGAGGAAAGTACTCTAAGTTGATGTTAAAGTTTTAAAAACCATATTAAAAACACCAATATTCTATAATCTTTTTAAAAAAATATTTTAACATTGTTTTTATTTAGAAATCAATAATTTTTGATAACACAACCTGGTTATATTGTTCCTAAAATTTTAATTATTTAAATTTAATGCACATTTTAAGATGTACAAATAGGGATTAATGCAATTGAATGTACATGGTTTGTGTCAAGATCAATCAGAAAGTGTTTTGCATTTGCTAGTGCCAATAAAAAGCAAGCTTTTTCAAAGTTATGAAAAAGATGGCAAATATAAGCGTTTTTAGTATGAGTTTTTATACTTTAGAAATAAATAATTTCCTTAAGTTAAGACCTATGTTTTAAATGATTCTGAATAAGTATAATGTATTCTACCATAATCGATCATAAAACCAGGGGAGGTGGAGGGGGAAATCATGTAGTGCCAAAATTTAAATATTTGATAATTTGCACGCAAGTGATTTTAGAGTGATAAATACTGATATAAATACAGTGAGTAATTTTCAAGATGATGAATACCAAATGTAGTACCAAAATTTAAATATTTGATAATTTGCACACAAGTGATTTTTGAGTGATAAATACTGATATAAATACAGTGAGTGATTTTCAAGATGATGAATAGTTTTATAGATTTAACTTTAATAATGTCAATAACAAAAATAAATTATTTCAGTTTGATTATATGCGGATTTACTAAAATTTTAAAGTTAAAACTTTATAAATTTAATAATACTTACCAGCTTCTTGCATTTTCTGGAAAAATTCACTTGTGCCTGATTTAGCAATAGTACCAAGCTGCTTAATAAGATCATCTTTTGTCATACCAATACCAGTATCAGTAATGTGCAATATATTGTTATCCTTGTCTGCTTTAATTTTAACAGAAAATTCATCTGTTGCACTTAATACACTTTTATCAGTGAGAGAAAGGAAGCGAATCTTGTCTAACGCATCAGAAGCATTAGATATTAACTCTCTCAAGAAAATCTATAAGAAAGATTTTGTTTTTAGAGTCAGACAAATTATCGTTATGAAACATTGAAAACTAGTTAATAAAGCTTAACATTACCTCTTTATTTTTATAAAGAGAGTTAATAATAAGTTTCATCATTCTGCTAACTTCAGCCTGGAATGCATGTTTTTCAGCAGATTCTCGCAGCTGCTTAACTTCGGCAACACTTAGCCCATCAATGTTAATAGCTTCTTCCTCGCGCTTTACAACTTCATCGTCTGTTTTTGATCCATCGCGACTTTTACCAATATCATCAGTCACTTTAGGTGTATCTACTTCATCTTCAGAAGTTTCTGCTTCTTCAGCAGCAGCAAAGCCTAAAAAATGGACTAAATAAGTTGCTGCAACATAATTGTTCGAAAATTTATGTACGGATTTTATGTATGTGGTAAGATTTTAAGAATGGGTTAGACTTGTTTACGTATTATTACTGCTTGAAAACAAATTTATGAAGTGACAATTTAAAGGTAATACTCACATATGAGAAACGCGAGGGCAATAAAGCCAAAAAATGCCAAGTTTACTCTCATAACTTTTAATTTGCCGATCAAACGACAAGTCACACGAGTGTCTACGCTCAATAACAGTGAATACAACTATAAAATTTGGAATTTAGTGCTAAAATACATTCTACTGAGCGTGTGGCATTACTATTGGCTGATTTTTTTACACGTGGTAGACGTGGTAGTATTTGATTTGTTTTAACTTAAAAAAGTATTTAGAATATCTAACAGGTAATCGAGTCAACGATGTAAACAATCTGCAATTGCATTTCCATGTTCTGGAAGATTTGAATTTCGTTCACTAGTTTTAGTTTTTGATAAATTATTAACAAAGATGGCTTATTTTAAAATCTCCTGTTTTAATCTAAAAGTATTCTGTAAATTTTTCTTTGTATTTTGGATTGTTATTAAAATGCACTTAGTTACGGGAAAGAGTCGTGTTGAAACAACTTGTCAAACGTGCAGAGATTTAGTCAAGAACTTTAATTTGGTAATTTTAAATCTGCTCTTCCTCGTTTAAAATTAAATAAAATATTTTGATTTAAAAATAAATAATAGATACGGTACACAAAAAATTTTTAAATTGATCAAATACTTGATTGTTATATATCATTAGGAAGGCCTTCAATTCAGTATTTTAAAGCCTTTAATAAAGGTGAAAAAGTTATCAAAACTCTACAAAAAGTTATAGCATTCAAAGTACTGAATTTTTGATATATAGATTTCTTGAAGAAAATCTAATAAAATTCTTTATGTCAATTCTATCCAAATACATTCAATTTGGTATCAAAAAAAAAGGTCTTACAAAGGGCAATATGATTATACAAAAGAAGTACGAAGCAAAACCTTCTAATATGTTGAAAAAAGTTGGTTTATTTTAAAAGAAAATAATATCATTGAAATTTAAAAATTTTAATTGCATTTTTTATATATTCTAGCAGGATAGCATCAAAAATTATTTTGATACTTTAGGTTGAATAAGTTAATAAGGTGTCTGGGTATGATTATTTTCATTGAAAATCGTCAGGTAGTAAGAAAAAAGTTTTTTAAGTTTGAAAGAAAATATTAGAAAAATGAGCCAGCATTCCTTTGATATATACTTGATGTCCAAACAACAAGCAATTTTTTAACAACAATCAAATTCATAATAAGATCTAGCAATTTTTAGTCTAATAAGGTTTAGCGGTTTCAAAGTTATTCAAAGATAATTTCTATTTTGAAAGCAATAGTTAAATAGCTGATTTAGTTGATCTTTTTTTTGAAAGCAAATTAATTTAAATATATATATTATTAATTTCAAAATAACTTGTCAGCTGCTCTTAAACAGCAATTTCTAAGATTTTTTTATAAGTAGCATACTAGTTGGTCTAAGATCTTATGGTAACTTTAGTGAAAATAAATTTAAAATCAGAATGATTGTTATTTTAACAAATTCCACATAGCTTTAGGATTATTTTTGACTGAATCACTTTTTAATTTATAGTAATCAGCTCTAAGTTTTCTTATCTTTTTTTATTTCCTTTCTTTTTTTTTTTTTTATTTATTATATTTTATTTTACATTTGCTTTTATATACCCATGGTATTAACATGTACTCAACATGTTTTTCACTCTTGATTCTATTCTTGCACTGCATATATATATAGAATTCCTTAACTAGTTATTGTGAATAGACTGATTGTTATTATTCATTTTATTATTCATTTTATAAATTTTTTCTTGCATATTTATGTTGTTTTTTTATAATATCTGTACAACTATTAGCTTTTATTTCAGTATTGATTTCTTCTTTCATATTTGTTAATTCAATTGAAATGTTTTTATTTAATAAAGAATCATAAACTTTATGGAAGTATATATATATATATATATATATATATATATATATATATATATATATATATATATATATATATATATATATATATATATATATATATATATATATATATATATATATATATATATATATATATATATATATGTATATATATATATATATATATATATATATATATATATATATATATATATATATATATATATATATATATATATATATATATACCAATATATCCTCTTGCGTTTTATGGAATTTATCCAAAACACTGTGTTTAAATCACATAGTATAAAATTTTTATAAATTAATAAATCAACTAACTCATTTTGGTTAGTTGATTAGTTTAAACTTTTTAAAAGTTTTATGGTCTTCACAATTTTTATTGTGATATAGCTTTAAATTGACAAAAAAAAAACTTTCTTAATCTTAACTATAAAAAATTAGAGAAAAACAAGTTTATAGATTAAATAATTTTTGATATAGTGAACAATTGTTTTAATTTTTTTCATTGTGTATTTTTTATTATTTCACTTGAAATTTTATTTTATTTTTGGTTTTATCTGTTTTATACACATATTAAAGTAAACATTTATTGATTGAGTTATTTAACGATAGGTACACCTAATGAAGAGTTTAGAATAAAAATCTTTACATCATTTCTTTTTTTTTAAAAGGGCATGGAAAAGACTGCAAAAAATCATTTTGGTGGTGGTGATACTGCTTGGGAAGAAGAAAATCTGAAAAGTTATGCAAGAAGGTTTGTGTGTCTGTGTGTATATATATGTATATGTATATATATATATATATATATATATATATATATATATATATATATATATATATATATATATATATATAAATATATATATATATATGTTAGTATGTACATATACATGAATACAGCATTAGATACACACTGATGACATCATACTGAAATAGGTAGATACTGGGCTTGAGTACATACATTGACTGACTAAACAAACAGAGCATTCAAAGAGTGCTGCTGAATTATCTAAAAGTATAGGTTTGGAAAGCAGTTGCTTTTTTCATTATTCTTCACTATTTTTTCTTTTTTTGAAAACTTAAAGCACATTTTAAGAATTAAAGTGAATAAATTGTTTTAGAAAATTGCGTTCTTTAATACATATTATCAATATAAATATTACTGATATACCAATTAGTCTGTATTTCACTTTTTTTCGTCTCATTTGTGATTTTATCTTCATGTATTTAAGCATTGCAATGATCTGTCATCTACTAAACTCTCACATCCTCTGAAGTCTTCGACATCATAGCCAATAAACCAAAACCAACAATTTTGTCTATCTGAGCTTTTGGGATACCTGTATTCACTTTACTAAAGGTTTTCAGTTTTGGTTGTTAATTAACTTTATTCACTGCAAGTAAACCCTTATTCCAATTAAGCTCATTATTTGGCAATTTTTCAAAATGGAGCTTTAACTTTTTTTAAAGTAAATTTTTATCTAGCCCTTTAATATAGTTTCTTCAACAACATCTCCATTTTTCCTAACCATTCACTTAATAACTCTGAGCACTAGATTGTTTTTGTTCTCTAAATTTAGCATTACACTAAATAGCAAGTGCTCATCAGATAAAGCTTTGCATATAGTTTCTTTAACCTTGTGTTGTTAACTAAACAGTTTTATTGAATTCAAAAATAAATAGCCATCATTTTATGTTTCTCTAAATATACTTTGCTCTTTCACTTACTTTATTAGATATTTTCTTATGTTTTTCTATTTTTGCTTTTCGTTTTGTTTTTCTATACACTTGATTGTCTTTCACATTATTTGATGTCAAATCAGCAAAATAACCTAAAAAATGACACCCAAGTTTTGGATTTTTCAATTTTTTTTTTTTTTTATATATCTATAGGGTTTATGATAACTAAATTAATCTGAAAGTTGAAACCTCTAACTTCTTACGGTTCTTACATAGATATTATCGGTTCACATATGCACATTCATATATATATGTACGTACACAGGTATATATTAAGTCTTTTTACTCTCACATGCACAAGCATATATTTTAACAAAAATTACTAAAAACAGTTCTATATTATTATGTTTATTTATTTATTTATTTTTTAATTTATTTTATATGTATCTTTACAGTGAAACAAGATTATTAGAAATTTTGGAAAGTGTTTGTAATGATGTCAGTAAAGAGGTTGGTATAATCATCCAATTTTATAGCATACTTTTTAAGAGTTCTTTTAATGATCTTTCAATGAAATGATGTTAGAATAACTCTCACTGAAACTCAAGCACCATGTTGGCTGTTGCTATAAAATTAGACTGATACCAAATAATGTAGACAGCATAACATTCGTTGAGATTTTATTTGTTGTTTTTAAACATGAATTTTCCAGTCTACCTGTCACGCAATGGTTGAAGAAAATGAAGAATTGTTAGAGAGTTTCTGGTTTAACAAGTAAGTTTGTAATTAAATTTTTCTACAGTCTCTCTAATCCTCTCCTTTCCTGCACTTCTCTAACTTTTAACCAAACTTAGACCTTTTAAGAAGTCTTTTTTAATTATTATCTTTAGGATTATAAGATGTTTAAAAGACAGGGCTTTTTAAAATTAAATGCCGCAAAAGTTAACAGTTTTTAGTTTTTAACATTATTATACTTATGTAAAAAAAAAAAAATTTCTCTTTAAAGGCATACAGAGCTATCTTCCTTGGAAACATTTTTATGTATTGAGAAACTAAAAGGTAAATTTATAAGTAAGCAAACAAAAAATATATAAAATGCAGAAAAATGATTTTACTTTTTGATTTTTTTTTTTGTTTTTTTATATACAATATTATTAAACTTATATTTTATATTTGTTAATGGAATATTAAAAAGCGTATGTGAAAAGTAACAATTACTAAATTTTTAATAATTGGTTGTTGTTTGGTACTTTTCATATATGCTTTATAATATTCAATCAACATGTTTACAATTGCATTTCAACAAATTTTTTTAAAAATAAATCTTAAATTTTTTTATGATAAACTGCTGCTTTTATATATATATATATATATATATATATATATATATATATATATATATATATATATATATATATATATATATATATATATATATATATATATATATATATATATATATATATATATATATATACTCTTGCATGGTAGTCGAAAAGAGTTTCCCATAAACTGTAGTTTTAAAGAGCGCGTTAATAAACCAGACCAGAAAAAGTTTTAAAACTTAAATTTTTTTTTTTTTTCAAATGATAGACTGCCTGCCCAAACCAAACTCTCAGTCGATGTAGCAGCACTCCCTTGCGAGTCAGGCTATTTGTCAGTCGTTGTAGCAGCACTCCCTTGCGAGTCAGGCTATTTGTCAGTCGATGTAGCAGCACTCTGTTGCGAGTCAGGCTATAAGATAGTCGATGTAGCAACATTTACGCATGTTTTAAAAATGTTTTTTAATAAAATAAAAACAAGAACATCACTAATAAAAAAAAACTTTCTAGTCGTTATAATTGCGGTTTTTTAAAAATTTTTTAAAAAACAATAAAATTTAATGTACTTCCGCATTAATTTAATTGCTTTGACATTTCAACAACAATCAAATACAGCTTAAGAGACGACGTAATTAAAATTGTAGTCGTAAGAGACTTTTATACATTAAAACGCTCTTTCGACTACACTATATGGATATATATATATATATATATATATATATATATATATATATATATATATATATATATATATATATATATATATATATATATATATATATATATATATATATATATATATATATATATATATATATTTAAACAATTTAAAATGTATTCTACAAAAAGAGTGCTCAATGTTCTTAAAAGAACAGAGCAATTACAAATTAGTAGAAAATCACTTAGCAAAATTTTTTCTCATTTAACGCTGTGTTTCATCAATAAAGACTCATCAGAAATCATCAGAAATATATATATATATATATATATATATATATATATATATATATATATATATATATATATATATATATATATATATATATATATATATATATATATATATGTATGTATGTATGTATGTATATATATATATATTAATATATATATATATATATATATATATATATATATATATATATATATATATATATATATATATATATATATATATATATATATATTAATATATTATCTTACAATATACATATTGTATAGTGCAAGTTATTTATTTTTAGCATGTTGTCCAATTGGAAAATATGGAAAAAATTGTAAAGGTATCTTGTTATCATATATTTTATTATAAAATAGTATTAATAATAGTTCCTAAAAAGTTGTATTTCATTAAGAGTATGTGTATATAAAATATGAAATAGTAGTTTCTTCTCTCACTAAATGTGTTCTATATAAAAAAATAGTTCCAATGAAAAAAAAAATTTATAATAAAAGTTTTTTTTATCTATGTCCAACTTACATGGATTTTATTAGCCTTCAGGGTTACATGGATTTTATTAGCCTTCAGGGTTATGTTTTTTTTTTTTTAATTTTTTTATTTTTATTATTTGTCCAAAACATATAATTACGTTCAAGTATGTTAGAAAACAGTGTAAATCTACTTTTTACAACTTAAAATAGTTTTAAACCCCAAAAAATTATTATTTTTTAATAATTTTTTTTTTTAATTTTTTGATTTTTAAAAAAATTGCAAATATGTTGATTTGATGTACTGTTTTTGCATTGATCAATTTTTTAATCAATCTTATTGAAAAAAATATGTTTAATATAGAAACTAAAATTCACATCATTTTTTTTTTTTTTTTTTTTTTTTTTTTGTAAATGTGAAAATTTAAAAAACTTAAGCTCTGTTTCATAATTAAACTATATACATTTTTTTGTTTGAAATCCTTACATAGAATAAATTAAATTAAAATTAAAGCTTTTATCAGTTCTTTATATTTCATTAACTGTTTATTAAACTTTTTAATATACAATTGTGGAGATCTGGTTAAACTCCACGTTTATGAGTACAATTGTGTTATATTGATTTCAATGGTCAATCTATTGAAAAAAATATGTTCAACATAGAAACTGATAGAAAATAAAATTCACATTTTTTTTTTTTTTTTTTTTTTTTTTTTTTTGTTTGTAAATGTGAATCTGGTTTGTCTTTAATTAGGAAAATAAAAAATGAAGGGATAATATTTGGTGTTTTCAGTTTCATTTGAAAGATAGTAAATGGCTTCAGTTTCATTTGAAAGATTTTAAGTGGCTTTAGTTTCATTTGCAAGATAGTAAGTGGCTTCATTTTCATTTGAAAGATAGTAAGTGGCTTAAAGATGAATTTTAAGATATTATATTAGCTCTAAAAAATTCTATAAACTTAAATAAAACTATTATACAAGGTTTATTTAAAATTTTTGGGTCAAGAGATTCAAAAACAGCATCTATATTCACATTATTTAATGATATAAATAACATAACAATTAAGTTTTGTTTCCAAAATACAGGTTATAAAAAGGATGGATTTCTATATAAGTGAATTCAAAACAATAAAAATTCTTTCAAACATTCAAAAGAACAAGCTCTTGCAGTTTATCTATTTTGGTTAAGATTTCTCTTGATCAAAATTTAATTGCTTGTTATTTTGGTTTTAAAGTTAAAATTTCAGAAATATTGCTATCAGATAAGAACTTCATTTAATGCTGTTCGCAAAAATTTGGAGCAAAGTCACAATTGCAAAAAGATTGGCTATTAAATACTCTACTGCAAAATTTTTATATCATTTTTTTATTGTTAGAGGTGTTTAAAATGAAAATGAATTTAATTTAAATGATATCCCATTATCATTTATAATTGATAAACATTGTTTTAATTTTAAATGTTGCACAATATTTAATAATTATACAAACCATCAATAAATAGATCAATAGATAAATCAATATTTTTATTAAATAGTGAATTAATATTTGGTAGATGGTTTAAGCAATTCTATTATAAAAAAATACCAAAAATGTATAATATAAAAAATATTTTTTATTATCTATTATTATTACATGGCTTATTTTTTATTATCTATTATTACATGGCTTAACTTAAAAATTACAACAATTTTCTTATTTTTGATGTCATTTCAATAAATTATTATTAAAAAAAAATTATTTTTATTTTAACTTATACTAATACCTTAAAAATTATCAAATAACTATGAAGCTAAGCTGACTGAGCTTAGATTTTTTGACAAATAATAAGTCACTAACAATAGGTTGGTGTAAAAATCTAAACATGATCGGCTCTGTGTGGATACCAGCCAAAAGACATCAATATATATGTATGTATGTATATACATGTGTGTATATATGTATATGTATATATATACATATATATGTATGTGTGTTTATATGTATGTTTGTGTATATGTGTATATATATTTATGTATCTATATGTGTGTATATATGGGTATATATATATATAAATATACATATATATATGTGTGTATTTATATATATATATATATATATATATATATCAGGCTTTCCCAGGAAAGGTGTGCGGTCGCACGCCTTGCTTGTCCACGCATAGAATAAATTTTTCTGACTAACTGACCACATTTTATTATTATGCGTTTCAAGAATTCGCGCCAAAACATAGCTAAACGAAAATACCGCAAAAATGCAAGCAACCTTAAAGTAAATAACAGAAATCTGTTTGTGCTTTAAAATTAAAAAATTAATGTATATTATTAAAAAAAAAATTTACCTATATTTTATTTATTTATTTTTTTAGGGTGGTAGTTATTTTAGCTATGAAAAATCAAATCAATAAGAAAAATCAAATCAAAAAGAAAAAGAATAATGTTTAAAGAAAATAAAAAAACCTTTTAATGTAAAATTTGTTTATTAATGACTTTTATCAGTCAGTAATACTTTAAAATTTACAATAGAACTATAAACAATTTTTAAATGTTTCGTAAATACATTTAAATGTTTAAATGTATTGATTTAAATGTTTGAATGTATTGATACGCAAGAAAACACGAAAACGATTGCTATTTATTAGTAAAATATATTTGTTTTTTTTTTAAATGAAAGAAAATTTTATTGTCAAATGATTGAGTTGCTTATTTTGCAATCATTAATTGACATTGTGAACGAGTGTTAATATATAATAATGTCCCAAAGGAACTGTTTTCGTAACAATGACAACAGAAGCAATGCAATTATTTTTTTAACTTCTTTCGTAATAACAAAATTATGCAATTGAATAATTTCAACGTAATAAAAGGCGAGCATTGACTCAGTATAATCAGTTTAGAATAAGTCGAGAAAGAACTTTTTTCACATTAAAATTTTGTTATGTTTAAAATCTCAAATAATATATTTAATAATTAAAACAGCAATTTATTTTCTTGTCTAAGTATTGAGGAATAAAGTCATCGCCTTTGCATAAACCTTCGTAAAAACTAAATTAAATGAAAAAGTTTAACCAAATTTGTCTAGCGTAAATAATGAATCAGTTTTTTAATACATTGTCTGATAAAGTTTGTGAATAAATTACGTATCAAGTCTTTATTTTCGTGAAAACTTTATGACTTATCGTCGTCTTTTCCTTGACTTGTATCAAATTTCTTAGCTGAAAATAGCAACCCTAAAAAAAAAAACTATAAAAATTTTGAAAAAAATGTTTAAGACTTTTTCTTTTTTTTTTGTTACAAGAATTATTTTTTTTTTTTATTTTTTTTTTTTATTATCAAAATATTTTTCTTACATCCAATTTCAATTTTATACTTTGTTTAGACTTCGTTTCCTTTTTTTAAAATTATTTTTTATTCTCTGTGGATAATTTCCGCTTTCCCACCAAATAATGCCTCGGTCACGTTTTCTGAAAAATTTCTTATATGCGTGGACAAACAAGGTGTCCGACCGCACGCCTTTCCTGGGAAAGCCTGATCTATATATACATATATATTTATATTATTTTTATAGAGTGCCCTGGTGGTGCAAGCAAACCTTGCAATAATAGAGGCACATGCAAGGTAAAATGAATAAAGAAGTTTTAACAAAACTTTTACATTTTTTTTTATATTTTTATGTTATTCATGTTTTCTATTCTATAAGTTTTTAGTATAAAAGTATATATAAATATAAAGATACTAAGTATCTTTATATTTAAAAGGAAAATACCTTCTTTTTACATGAAAGTATTACTTTCATGTAAAAAGAAGGTATTTTCCTTTTAAATATAGGAATACCTTCTTTTTACATGAAAGTATTACTTTCATGTAAAAAGAAGGTATTCCTCTCATAAAACAGCCAAATTTTTATTTGCTTGTTTGAATTTTATGTCTCTCTTTCTTTTTTAGCTGAGAAGTATTTTTGTTTATTGAAAAAATTATAATCTTAACCTTTTAGAGAGAAACAAATGATTGTTTGGCAATATGAATATAGTTATTAATTATAAAATAAAAAAACAATTATTAATTTAAAAAAAATCATGTTAGTAATGGCTTTAAAAAAACTGCCATTAAGACATTAAATCAATGTTATGGTTTATATTTTTTTCTTTATTGTATATTTTTTATTATGCTATGTTTAGCGCAAGGGTACTGTTGCTTTAATTTTTTTCTTAAAGTCACGGTAGTGTTTCTGTTTGGTTGATATTTTTCTTATATTTAAAGAATGCATGCCCAAACCAAAACCCTTAATCGATGAATGTGCACTCCACTGCACCTATCCCTAAATCAGTCGATGTATGTACACTCACTGTGCCTATCCTTAAGTCAGTTGATATATGTACACTCAATGCCCCTATCCCTATATCAGTCAATGTATGTAAATAATAAAAATCAATGCAGCTTTCAATATGCAACAATAATAATAAATAATAGTTAAAAAACAATTTAAAAATTTTTTTTAAGTAAAGGACTGGATCTCCGTGGAAGATGTTAAATACCACAATGCTAAACGTACAATATAAGGCTGCAATTCTTTTAAAATTTCTACAAATAAAACTTTCAAAATCAACCAATAATATTTGCAGCTGTGACAAATTAAACCAATCAAACTTTACTACAGTGTCATCAAGACAAAAAATTAAAACAACGGTTTTTTCTTTTGTCTATTTATTTTTACTTTTATATATATTTTTAAATGTAAAGTTCATTTTCAGGGATCAGGAACTCAAAGTGGTACTGGTGAATGTGAATGTAACACAGAGTACACTGGACCTGAATGTGAAGATTGTAAAGACAACTATTATAAAGATGGGCTTGACTGTAAAAGTAACAACAAAATTACAATTATTAATCCTCTTTATGCTATTCTTATGTTATATATAGCTGTCCAGGCCCGACTTCACCAAACTGACCATTTCTATACTTATCTATTCCCCACCAATTATTTCTATACTTATTCCTCATTTACTTCAATATTTTTTAGTCAACAATAGAAAAATAATTCATTAAAAAAAATTTTAAATAAATCGATTTCTTTTATTTATGCTAAAGTATGTTTTTATTTACTTTTTATAATGACTTTTTTTATTTTATTTTTTTCGTTGTTTTACATCTTTTTTTTGTTTTGTATTGTTTGTTTTAATTACTTTTCTTAACAATTTCTTTTATTTACGCTAGTTTTATGTGAACTAAGTTATAAAGCGACAAGACAGCTAGTTAATAAAAATGTTTAAAAAAAATAGTAAAAAAAAAAAAATACAAAAAATTCTTTTGTAAACTGTTAAAAACTAAAGTAGGTACTTCTAGCATGAATAAACCCATGACAATCAGAAAGCAATGTCTTATCAAAAAATAAAAATAAATTAATAAATACTATAGAGCTCTTCAATAAACTTTTTATAAACATCTAATTTGAATTATGCTAACTAATCATAGAAGTGTAAGGAAATCAATAACTTGCGCAACCTAAAGTTATCTTAAAATTAGATAATATGTGGTAATGAAAAAAACATAGTTTAGATCATAACAAAAATTAGTTTAGACCATAACAAATATTATTCTCTAAAGAGTAAAAAGACATTATCATTTGAAGCCAGAAAACTTAGAATTGATCTCATTAAATGTATAAAAATAAAATCTAATATTAACATAATTGAGTAGTATCAATTAAATCAAAAAAACACACATAGACATCTTAAAAAAGAAGTCTCAGTGAATACTTTTTAGTAAGTAGCAGTAGGTCTTTAAAATAAACTCCTATTAGTTTGCATAACTATTTCAAAGCAGTTCACAGGTTAATAAAACATTTTAAAAACAGTTAAGTAATTCAAAAATAGATAAAATTAAAAATATAATAAATTTTAAACAAAATGCAAAAATCAAACAAAAATAATCACTTAACTAAAGTATCAAAAGTTAACCAACTCTGCGAAGAATTGCAAAAAGTTAATCTACAGAGAATCACAAAAAGTTACCCTGCAAAGGATTGTAAAATCTCAGCTTTCATACTTGTTATTCATAATAATATTAATAATTATAAAAATAATGATAATAATAACAACAACAATATCAATAATAATTATAATATATAGTAATAATGCATGCAGTTCTAAAACTACAAAATCTTCAATTCCATGCAATTGTATATGTTAAATCCTATATTTATTTTTCTGGATAGTTTTTCTATAGAATTTCTGAGATGGTTATTTACCGTCTTCACTTCTTTATCCAAGATTTTAATTTTGTTGGAATAATTTTTATTTTTAGTTATATTTATTACAATCAACGCCTAGATAATTTTCTGCATTGTTTGAGTTTTTCAAAAAGATATTTTCAGATGTAGGCCAAAACTGTTTAAACAGTTGGTTACTTTTATATTGCTAAATAGAAAAGCTGTAGTTTCCGGAATTGTTTTGATCCTCTGAACAACAGTTTCATTATCATATAAGTCATTGTCAAATACAGTTCTCTTTGCTTTTTTGTTTGTTTTTTTTAAAAAGTAAAAAATATAGTTAAATCTATTAAATTAAAAAGTAGGTAATAATATTTCTGATGACTTGAAAATAATAAATTAAAATATCTTCCAATATCAAGGACATTCCACTATCAAGAGGCATTCTATAATTGTTTTTTCTTTTTTAAGGTTGTTCTTTTTAGTAGCTATAATAATAGCTAAGTCATCAGAGTTGACATTTTGCTACTATTATTGATTATAATCCTTTCAGGCTTTTTGCTTTTATTTTTTATATATTTTTTTAAAGAATGCCACAAATCTTGCAAGTCTTGTAATGGATCAACAAACCAAGAATGTGAAAGCTGTGCTGATGGTTACATTATGGATGATGAAAAAAGATGCATTGGTGTGAATGATTTTTTAAATATATTTATTTTGAATATATATTAAAACTTAAATAGGTTTTTATATATTTGTATACGTTAATATAGATTTATATATATGTGTCAACTTATTTTTGCATTAAAGAATTTTATAATTTATAATTTTTTACACTCCAGTATTTTTTAGAAATAATCTAAGTTTAGTTTTTATATAGTATTTTTTATGGTATAAATGATTTTCCCTTGTATGTATATGTATATGTAATAGATTTTCCTTCAACATAGATATTGATGAATGTGAAAGAAAAGACATATGCAAAGTTGGTGAATTTTGTTTTAACACTGAAGGATCATTTAGATGTCATCGTAAGTTTAACTATTATTTTAAATAACTCAACATCGTTTTTGAATTTTTTATTACTATTTTGGTAAAAATTGTTTATAGATTGTGATCCTGCATGTAAAGATGGGTGCACAGGAACTGGAAGGTTATCCTGTACTAATTGCTCAAATGGGTGGACAAGGGTGGAACTCACCAAAGCCTGTGAAGGTAATAATGACTAAAGTTTAAAAAATCTCAAGCTTTATACACACACACACACACACACACACACACACACACACACACACACACACACACTATATATATATATATATATATATATATATGTATGTATATGTGTGAATATATATATATATATATATGTATATATATATACACATATATATATATATATATATATATATATATATATATATATATATATATATATATATATATATATATATATATATATTATTTAGAATTAAAACAACTGATTAGTGGGACTTAAAGTTTCTTGCCCAAAAACAATCATCAGCTGTTAATACAAACAAAAAACGTAAACAAACTGCTACAAAAATGTAAAAGTTACTGTAGAATGCCTTCTGACATTATAAACAAATCTTTGAAAAAAACAAATCAAAAAACTGTTCTAGTTTACTAGTCACCTGTGATGATGATAAGAATTTTTTTGAATGTCGACACTGAGATACGATTTTTATTTTTTTTATTCATTTGGTTTTTTCCGTTGTGTGGTAAAATAATAGTTTTTTCATAGAGACAAAGATGGCATATTTTTTTGCTAGATTGTGAGGTTTGTAACGTTTGACAATTTTTCATTCTATAATAGGCTTTATGTTTTGGTCTTTTAAGCTCCATATTTCCTTAGACAGCTCTGTGTCTTTTCTATACTTAACTGATGCAAATGATTTGAGATGGTTTGCATATCTTAGTTTAAATGGTGTATTATTAATGCCAAACTATACTTTTTTATTATGATCATGATGATCGTAATAAAAATATCTTGCATGGTTGTCAGAAAGTTTTTCCCATAAACTGTAGTTTTAAAGAGAGCGTTAATAAACCAGACCAGAAAGAGTTAAAAAACTTAAATATATTTTTTTTAAATGATAGACTGCCTGCCCAAACCAAACCCTCAGTCGATGTAGCAGCACTCCCTTTCGAGTCAGGCTATTTGTCAGTCGATGTAGCAGCATTCCCTTGCAAGTCTGGCTATTTTTCAGTTGATGTAGCAGCGAGTCAAGCTATAAGATAGTCAATGTAGCAATACTCCCTTGTAGCAGCAGGCTATGAGATAGTTGATGTGGCAACACTCCGCACATGTTTTAAAAATATATTTTAATAAAACAAAAACACCATTAATTAAAAATAACTTTGTTATAATTAATATTATATTTACAAATTGTTTTTATGTTGTAATTATTAAATTTGCTTGTGTAAATTACATTATTATTTATTTTTAAAATAATTAATTTTTAAATCTCTTAGATATTAATGAGTGTGATCAAGAAGCTATTTGTCCTATTGGTACCTACTGTATTAATAACCCAGGATCTTATGTATGTGAACCATGTCACCAAGCATGTAGTAATGGCTGTTCAACAGCTGGACCTCAGTCATGTAATGCTTGTGCTGAAGGATATATGTTGTCAGAGGGAAATGGATGTGTTGATATCAATGAATGTTTAGAAAAGAAAGTTAAATGCTCATCTGGTCAAATATGTGTTAACAGGGATGGCCCAGACAGTTGTGAAAGTATTATTGTTTAAGTTTTTTTTTTGAATTTTTATATTTTTTACTTATACAGAATACTATATAATTACATATAAATGAATGTAATTATATATTATTCCGTAGTGGCCTTCACTTGAGGAGGTGAATTAACAAAAAAAAAAAAAGTGTTGGTTTTTAAAAAAGATTTTTATTAAGACGATTTGTTATAGATTGCCATTCATCGTGCCTTGAGTGTTCTTCCACTGGTAAAAGTGATTGTTTGATATGTAAAAGCGGTTTAGCATTGATCAATGGCCAGTGTGATGGTATATAAAGTTTTCAAAAAGTTATACTGTTTTATCCCTTTTAGGATGTTCATCATTTTTGTTTTTTTGCTTTGTTTTTTTTTTTAGATATAAACGAATGTATGGACAATCCGTGTAATTCTAAAACCGAAGTTTGCACTAACAATATAGGTTCTTACAAATGCACATGTAAACATGGTTTTGCTCGATCTAAAACCAGTGGTCAATGCATTGAAAAGAAAAAAGGTAAAACAAAACAAGAAAAAGAAGAATCTCTTTTAGAAAATGATATTTTTGAAGGAAAGTTTTTCTCTGAAAAACATTTGAAATTAGGCTCTCTGATATACGCCCTGTTTTTTATATCATTAGTTATATTGTTTAAATTTGGTAGGTATTATATATTGGCTTCTTTTGTTTTATTCTATGCTTTAATAGTAGCATGGATGTCTACTAAGGCTTGAATGTCTCATGTAAAATAGATGTTTTTAAAGTCATAATAAATTTAAATCTATAAGTATATTCGAAATTTAAAAGTATTAGCGAATCAAGAAACTTGTCTTGATTTTATTTTTTAATTTAATTAAACAGTTTTTTTTTTTTATAAAATGACTATCGAATAACTTACTTTAATGTATTATTTTTAACTTATTTATTCTACGTTTTTTATTCTGTCACTTGTACTTTTTTTTATTATTTTTTAATTAAGTGTGCTATTAGTGTTACATTTTTTTTTTCTTTTTTTGTTTTGAAAATTTTTGAGGTCAACATCTGTAACAAATGCTGTTTATGACGAACATTTAATATTATTAATATTATGGAACACAATAATACAAAAATTTATTCGGTAATTCTAGATATCGCGAATTCTCATTGATCAGGAATTTTTGTATTGCTTTAAGTTAAGTTTTTTAATCATAACAATGAGGGAGGATAATCGTCATTAGGGTTCCTTTTTTTAAGCAATGCAAAACATCTAGTGTGTTTATCTAAAAATTATTGGAGTCGAAGAAAAACCTATCGATAAACGGCAAAAAAAAAAAAAAAAAAGCTTCTTATAATAAAGATCATTTATACTGTTAAATAATTATTTAATGCTTTGTTTTGATTTAAAGAATATATATATATATATATATATATATATATATATATATATATATATATATATATATATATATATATATATATATATATATATATATATTAAAAAATCTCAATTTAAACTTTTGCCAAATGGTTAGAAATTCAAATGCGCTCACAATTGCGTTATTTTATTAAATTTGTTTTGCCAATTCTAGAGTAGACAAGTCCATGACTAAATCGCATTAAAAAAATTTATGCAATAATTTTTAATTGTTCGTTTTTATCCGCTAAGATGTTATCCGATGTTGGCTGCTATTGTAAAATAAAAGTTTATTATTTACTTGTGTGTGTATTAAACAAAAGCCTTCGTTACAAGCTTTTCATAATTTTTTAACGTTATCTTAGAAATTATCGCTTTTTTTTTATTTTTATTAAGTTTTTATAATTAACATTATAAGAAGCATGCTATCTTATTTCCTAAAATATATGCTGTCTTATTTAGGAAAAGATATAAAAAGTGAAGAGAAGCTTGAAGTCACAACCCCATCCGATGGCAAAGCTGAATTGTAATCTCCCAAAACATCATGCGCCACAATAGATATATTTTTTGAATTTTAAAATATTTTTTCTAAGATGTTATTTTTGTGAAAGCTTGTAGCTTAGGTGACGAAAGTATTTAAATAATCGATTTTACCGATTTAGATTGACTCGATTGTTTTAAAAAGTATAACTAGTTTTGACTCTGTTCTCCATTTTATTGTAAACACAAAACATTTGTGTCTTGCTATGATATATGTTTTCAAATTAATAAAAAGTTCGTATATTTAATTGCTTTTTTTTTTTATTTATATGCAAAGGAAGAGATGTCGTTTTTCATTTTTTTAGTTTTTATTTATAACCAATTTATAGATAAAAGCCTTTTGATAAAGTTATGTTAAACTATTATTTGATATTTTCAATATTAAAAAACGTTTGCTTTCAATCCAGTTCATTCTCTACTTCACAACATACTTAACCAAAACCATTCTGTTCATAAAATAAACACGCTTTTAATGAAGATGGTAGCCTTTTCCCAACTGCACATAAAAATTTCGTATTTATTTTTGTTGAGTTGTTTTGCTTAAAAGATTTGATGTTAACTATGTTAACCAAAAGGTTAACATAAATTTTTTTACACTTTTTATACACAATTTGTCCACATTTAAGAGTCACATTTATTAAAAATAAGAATTTTTTTTTAATGACCTCAAATTTAGTTCATTATTTTCTAAGTTGCTGCATTATTCGCAGCAAATATAACAACAGACATTTTTTCTTGTGGTTTTGAAAATACAAAGCTTCGATGTGTTGTTATCGTGCTCAGATGTATCTTTGAAAGTGTTTCTAGGATAACTCGTGCTTTTATTTTTTCCGGAAATCCGGATATTTTTTTCAACTTTCAGTTTTTCCGAATAATCAAAACATTTTCAATACCTACAAGTTGAGGTATATTTTTTTGTAATATGTAATATATTTGGTTTTTAAGCTTTTTCATTCGTCACTCGAAGAAAAATTATGAAAAGTATCACAAAAAAATAATAAACAATTTAGCTAAAAGCGAAAATAAGGGAAAACAAATTCCGGATATTTTATTCAAACAATTTTTCGGATTTTTAAAATATGACTAGGATGATCTATGTTGCTATTATTGAATTATAAAAGCAAAATCTTTCTGAACTAAAAGATCAAAAACAAATTGCATGATGAGAAGTAAATAAACTGCAAATTTTAATAAATTCATAATTTTTTTTTAACTAGTTATTAAGATGCTCCAAAAAAACCTAAAGGTTTTTTTGTAAAACACTGCAGAAGTGTATTTAGCTAGAAAATACTCTATCCCTTTCTTACCGTTTTCGCAAATATCATCAAAGTGGCATTGAATCACTCAACTATGAAGTACACGCTCTAACAATAGCGCTACAGCTTCTCTTTTCAAAAAATCTAACCATAGCAGAAAAGGAAACCAGATCTCATGGCTTTTTAAAGTTGGTTATTTTCTGAGGTCTCTATTTTAATTTTTTACTGATTATAAAATAAAATTGTACACACGGGTTTATCTTACGAAAAAAACTGAAACTTTATATTTTAAATAAATTAGTTTAATATAATCCACAATTATTTCTGTCGTGTCCATAATTTTTTTCGTCGCATCCGTAATTATTTTTGTTGTGTCTATAATCATTTTCGTAATGAAAATGCTTTATTTTTTAAATGTTTTAGAGTAAATTAAGAGAAAAAATCCAAGTATAGTTTAATCACATAAACCCATTACGCTGAGTTCCTTTAAATATCCACTTCATATCCATCTTGAAATAATTCTCAAAATAGTATTCGGTTAAACCTGCTACAATCTCAGTATTAAGGTATAACCATTTCTTGTCGATCAGTTTGTGGTTGTATCCCTCTGAATAAATTTTACCATAACCATCGTTAAGATTAGTTTTTGAAAAAGGAAAGAGTTTAAGGCTGTAAGGTGGTAAAAAAGACTGGCTTGTACAATTTCTTCCACGAAATGTCGATGCTACGATTGAATGGTGGAATCGCGTGTTGTCCATTATCACAACATATCTTTGATCACTCAACTGGAATTTAATGTTGTTCTTGATGTTTTGTATTGTGCCTGGATAACTCAGTTGATTAGAGCGTCAAACGAAAAGTTAAAACCCGGGCTGTTGTACGATACCCAACGGGCATTCGAACATTTAATCAACGTTTAGTTAATGTTCGTTCTAAATGTTTAGATTTAATTTAGTTTCGATTTAGAACGTAGGTCAATCGAATGTTCCATTTAAACCATATCTAAATGGTTCGTTTTAAACGCTATTTAAACTTCATCTAAATCTTTCGTTAAATTTCGCGACGTTTAACTTTATTTTACGGCGCTTATTTAAAGAAGCATAAATAAATAAAAAATACTGATAAACGAATCAAACTTTTCTTTTATTTAAGCTGCTTTAAATATGTACCGTAAAAAAAAGTTAAACGCTGAACGCATTATCTAAATACTCAAAAACAAATTAAACATTAAATAGATAACTTTTTATTTATATAAGTCTAAAATACAAGTAAAATCATTTTATTTATTATTATATGCATTATCGTATTCGTCATCATGATCGGCTCCATAACGATCATTGTCATCTTTGCTTGAACTGATAACCTTTCTTATTTTCACCTATACGGAAGGGAGCCATTCTAAGATAAGAACCAATGCACGATACCATATTGCGGATACCGAAGTCATACAATCTTTTTACTAAAAATAAAAATAACTCAATAAACATCTTCATTCTATTCATATAAATCATTCATTTAACATTTATAAATCCATAGTTTTATAGATTATAGAAGATTGTACATTAGTACAGTGTACATTGAGTAACTATAGTAAGAATTCATAAAGAACATTTCTTTAAAACTCTGTATAATATATAACATTTATATAATAAAAACCTTATTAAAAAAACTTGTAGTTATCGCAAGTTTGATAACTCCCATTATCCATTGTCTTGAGGAGCAGTAGGCACACTCAGTATCCTGTTTGATTGAAACTTTCTATTTAATTGAAAAGTTGTGGAGATACCGACAGTTTCACTACAATATAAATAAACATGTAAAAATTAAATTGTAATTCCTAAAATTCTTAAAGTTAAAAACTAATCAATAAACATTATAATTAAAATTTATATATCAAAATCATATATGTACTAACAAGCAACTCAAGCTAAAAATTAAGTATTATTTGATCAATCCATTATATTAAGTGACCGGGTCCCCGGCCTCGGCTAAAAACAGAGGTTTTTGCAAACCCAGCCCCGGCTAAACATACACAATTTGCAGGGGTTACTAGCCGGGGCTGGATTTTTGTTGTTGTTTTTGTTGCTTTTTTTTAAATTTTGTCAAGTTAAAATTTTTTGTTAAAGTTTAAGGAAATATAAGAAAAAGTCACAAAAATAATATATAACTCATAAATATTTACAATAACAAATAAGAAATAAGACACCTAATAATAGTTTAAGTTTCTTCCTCTGATTCTGATGATTCTGTGTCCCAGACATCATAGTATTTTGAACTAGGTGGTGTAAAGTCTTCAGGGGCATCACATAAATATGTTGAATAAGAAAGAGCCCTTAAATTATATTTTAAAAAAAGAAGTGTTTCAACATTCTGTGTTGTAAGTCTGATGCGATCTTTTTGTATTAACTTTGAAACCTTGAACTCCCTCTCACTAGCTGTTGAGCTTGAGGGTGAACAAATTTACTTTTGCCAAGTTTGCTAGCTTTGGCAACTCGCTTTTCATGAGACTCCAATATAATAATGGATCTTCTGAAATATCTATTCGCTTTTTCTTATTATTCTTTACATTTAAATACTTGAATAGCTCAACTATGTAATTCTAATGATTAAAATTACAATTAATTACAAAGTTACTTACATTTTAAATGTAAATGCAATTTTACAATAAATTTATCTTATGAAATTTATTTTAGGATATTTTAAACAACCTGATTGTTAGCAATTTTTAAATATTTCTTCAAATTATTAACTTTGTTTAAAAAATTCAAATAATCAATTTATTACATGATGGCCACTGACTTTTCTAGAATATCCAGGTTGCTAGCTTGTTTGTTCTTTCATCCGGAAAGAACAAAGTAGATCAGATAGATATATGGTGTCTTTAAAAGATAGAAAAAAAAGCAATGATCTTAGAGATAGTATGAGAGTAATAATTATATTTATAGTGTGTATCAGAGAAGATGATAATGATGCCAATGATTAAGATGATGATGATGATCATTGTCATCATCATAATCAGAATCATCTTAATCATCATCATCAACTGTATGCTTGATGATGATGATGATGATGATGATGATGATGATGATGATGATGATGATGATGATGATGATGATGATGATGATGAAGATAATGACGATGATGATGATGACAATGAGATGATATATATACCTTTATATAAAATATATCATGAATTTTAAATAAAAGTAATATATTTATAAGGAATATCAATATTAATGCAGCCCCGGTCACAAACCCGGCCCCGGCTATGTTTTAATAAAACGGGCCCTGGCCCTGGTCAAATATCAACCTCGGTCGCTTACTAATCCATTAGTTTGTTCTTTGATATAGTAGTTATGTGAATAATGGTATTTTAGAACCCAATTTTTGAGCTAACAGAAAAGGAGACTTTGCAAGTACTGATGGGTTAGCTACAATGTAAATAACTATATAGATATATTATTTTTACAAAGTTATTTTAAATAAAAATTTACTAAAGCATTGTAAATTTGATTTTAAAAAGTCTATCCTAAAAGGATTACATTGCTAAATACGTTTATCAGTCATAAAATTAGCAGGTTTATCTAAAAGTAAAGGAGTTTTATATAAAAGATATAAATTTAGACATCTTACTTGATTGGTCCATTCTAGAGTCTTTTGGTAAAGTAGTCACACTTAATTTCAATAAAGATATCTTAGAATGTGATTGAATGCTTGAGACAAGGTGGCTGTGGAAGTGGTAATGGTTTAACTAAAATGTAAATCCGAGTGTATATTGTCTGAGATATGTTCATTACAACTATTATTAGTCTTCAAAGATAAAAATAGGACAACTTACTTGCATAATCTTAACTTAATGCATGCAAGTATTTCTAGCACTAAGGTCTTCACAAACTCTAATTCATGTTTATTGTAACATCAAATTAGCTAACCTATCAATATTCGTACCTTTCGCATTAACTTTTTTACTTTACCGTAAAAATGATTAATCA